TTTCCAAATGGAAAAATTTGAGAATAAGTTGATGAATTGGGAGCCTCACCCTCTAAGACTTTACTATGTACTATTCACACACACACACACACAAAAAAAAAATCCTACAGAAACTCCAAATCACTGAAATACTTTTTACCATCAAGTCCTCAGGTCCATTTCAAGCTTTGTTAATTATCTCAAAAACATCTTTTGTAATAATATGACCCCGAAGATCGAAACATCGTCTCTGAAGGCCAATCTGAGCTGCCCTCGTCAGACCGGGGACACTTGCAGACACTCATCTGTGCTGAGTTACTGAGATGAGCCAGCCCTGCAGCTGTGCCCAGCCTTGCCCCAGCCCCTGTGATTTGCATGTTGCCAGAGCACAACCCACTGCCCTAAAGACTTATTCATAGCCTGGGCACACACTGTGCAGGAGTCAGTCCCAGTCAGGACACAACATGGACATGAGAGCCCCTGCTCAGCTCCTGGGGTTCCTGCTGGTCTGGCTCCCAGGTAAGGAGGGAGAACACTAGGAATTTACTCAGCCAGTGAGGTCAGTAGTGCCTGGCTCTTCTTGGAAGTTCTCTTAAAACATGATTAATCCTGTGGAAGTATGTGTTTTTGTTTCCAATCTCAGGTGTCAGATGTGACATCCAGATGACACAGTCTCCATCCTCCCTGTCTGCATCTGTAGGAGACTCAGTCACCATCACTTGCCAGGCCAGTCAGGGTATTGGTAAAGAATTAAGCTGGTATTAGCAAAAACCCGGGAAAGCTCCTAAGCTCCTGATCTATGATGCATCCAGTTTGCAAAGTGGAGTCTCCTCGAGGTTCAGTGGCAGTGGATCTGGGACAGACTACACTCTCACCATCAGCATCCTGGAGCCTGAAGATATTGCAACTTATTACTGTCTACAGGATTATAGTACCCCTCCCACAGTGTTACAAGTCATGACATAAACCCCACAGGGTAGCAGACGTGTGAAGCTGCCCCATCTGCTTCTTCTGGTTCCTTCATCTGCTGAGAGCATTTCTGAGAAGCAGGCACACTTTGAAAGTCTCCTCTAGGCTTTGGTAGAAGGGGCCAGGGAGGCTCTTCTGCAGTCTAATTCTCTTCCTCTTCCTCTGCTCCACACCACACACTTAAAAATGTCTCTCTTGATTTCAGTAAGGACAGAGTTTACACACTGATAAGTCTGAGTTACAGCATCAGTTGGGATTCAAACAGCAGTAGAGAAGTCACTCTGGATACTCCAAGCAAGAATTGTTTTAATACATGGAGTTAGAGTCTACACCACAATCTTACAGAGCATGAGGTGTGGCAGTAAGGAAAGCTGATCCTAGACACAGGACATACTCTAGTGCTCCCCCAGCAGCCAGAGCACACCTGCCACTGAAGGTATTGGCTCCTCTGTCCTGTCTTGTTAGCCCAGGCATGGGGGTGCTCATGCTCTCAGCTGCCTGCAGAACCTCACTGCGTGATTCTCCAATCCTCACCTCTGTCGCCATGTCTGGCAGCAGGTGCTGATGGAAAGAATTGAGTCCTTCTGTTCTGATTTTCTAATCTCACAGAGGGCACCTCTTTGAGCAACTCTACAGGAAACCAAAGAAGGGAAAGGGATTTTGAGAAATGTGCTTCCAGAAATGATGCTGATGTTGGAGAATTGACAGCTGACTTCCCAGTGTGATCATTATCTCCCCAACTCCAGAATTTTTTCATTAGGGGATGGAGTGAAAATGCACTCAGATATACCTCCCAATATTATCAGCAAGTCCAGGATCATAGGGAGAAAACTTAACTAAGTAATAAAGTACACAGAACCATCAGGAACCTGCAAGAAATATATAAAAAATATTTTTAAATAAATAAACAAAAAGCCTTTCCTGATCAATAAAATAAAAAACTCATCAAAAAATTAAATGTGCATGTGACATTATTTTTCTTTAACATAGAAAACCTTGCTACTCAAAATCTGTCCAGAAGTCAGCACCATCATCAAGATCACTGTGAGCTTGTTGCCTGTCAAAGTAGCAGACTCACCTCAGTCGTTTCACACAAATCTATTGTCCATAGTGAGTAGAAAGGCTACTGTATATATCCAAAGGAATGGAAATCATCATGTCAAGTGATGCCTGCACTCCCATATTCATTTCATCTCTATTCACAAGTCAAGATGTGGAAGCAACATAGGTGTCCAATGACACATGACTGGATAAGGAAAATGTGGTACATATACACCATGGAATACTACTCAGCCATAAAAAAGAATGAAATTCTGCCATTTGCAGCAACATAAATGAGTCTGGAGATAATTATGTTAAGTGAAATAAGCAAGAAAGAAAGAAAGAAAAGAAAACCACAACAATATGTTGAACTCTCAGAGGGAGAGAACAGAGCTAAGGATACTAGACATGAGGGGAGAGAGGGAGGGGGTTTGGGGAGTGATAGGTTGGGTAAATGGCATAAAGAAAAATTATGACTTCTAATAATGAGTATGCTAATAATAAAATTAAAGTTTTTTAAAAAGTGAATGGGATGGGTAATATGAGAGGTGAATGTGGATACTGTTTACTCAAGGCCCATATGTACCTTCCATGAGGACTGAGAACCATAAGCTTCTGAAGACATTTAGACATCCAGAAAATAATATTCCATGCCTTTCCTGTGTAGAGACAGCTTCCTCTCAGATGGCTAAGGACTGTCTTTGGCTGTTTCCTCGTTTGTGCCTGATTGTGATTGACACAGCAGGTCTTTAAGCAAACCCTAAGCAAAGCCTCCTGTGTGTGCTCCTCGGAGCCTGGATGTAATTGGCCCTGGATGCACTTAGGGAGGTGAAGTAATTTGGGAGGAAGGGAGAGTTATACAGTGAGAGTTGCTCCTGTGATGGTCTAAAACACTGAGGCCAGTCCCCAAATTATCGGGCTCTGTTCTATTGAGCCTGTAAAGTTTACCTTATAAAAGAACAGGGCCTTAGAAATAAATTAAGGCTTTGAAATTGTGGAATTGTTCTGGATTTTTTGTGGGCCCTAAATGCCATCACAAGTGTCCTTAGAAGAAAAAGACTTGAGACTTAACACACAGCAGCAGAGGAGATGGCAGTGTGAACACAGAGTTCAGAGAGCTGTGGTCACAGTCAAGGAAAGCTGCAGCCAGCAGAAACTCGAAGAGGCAAGAAACAGATTCTCCCGTAATATCTCGGACCCTACCCCAAT